GGGGGAGATGGATCAGGGGTGTGTAGCGCCGACGGAATGCCAGAGATGCCTCGGAGCATTCCGCGCGCGCTCGAACCCTCGACCCCGTTGCCCCCGAGAATGGCACGCAATTAGGATCCACCAAAGGCTCGAAATAAAGCGTTCTGCACGTGCTCCGTGTCCCCTTCGTTCCGTTCCATGAGGAGGGTGTTTCATTCATCATCTATGTGAGACTATCCGAGGAGTCATTGTAACGTCTCTCAGTAAGCTGTGACAAGTTTCACTCATAAAGCCGACCGATCCATACGGCCGATTTCACTGTAAATAGTTGATCCCCCCGCCACAAGCCACAGCAAGGGGTTGATCTGCCTGAGCTTCGCCTTCCAGTCCACCTTCCTTGGTCGAACGTTTTGGCTGGTGTCGAATGCTGGAAATGGGCTCCCTACCCCTTTCACAGTCACACTTAAAATTTCGTCAGGGCCATTCAATGGAGACTTGTTGTGTCAACCTCTTGTTTATTTATAGTCATTGATTGGAAAATGCACGGATGGATGACTTTCTCAAACGGGAGAGTTGGAGATCTCGTTGTCCTACATTATGTAGCGCTATGTGATAGGCACGTCAGGGAGTGAAACCCCTGTTTGGTGAAGAAATATGTTTTCTCGGAGATGACGAAGCATCCGGGAGCAATGGTACCAGCTCACATTGATCGAGAAGGCTACGGAACTGACTTGGCGAGATGTGCAGGCACTCGTTGCTTCGACGGGGTCCTTTTGTACCCGTCGGCATGCTTGACGGCGAGCTATTCACGCGGGAAAGAACCAGAAACGAATGCTCGTGCAGTAGCATGACATGTGCTTCGCCGTGGCCATTAGTCGTTTCCCACTTACATGCCATTCACCACCTGGCGTAGACATGTACATGTAGCTGTCCCCTGAGTGAGAGTTGGTCACAACGGGATACTTCTGCTTGGTTGGGCGAAGGGCCCGGGATTCCAGACGATCAAATACAGATTTGTCAAGCGAAATTAAAGACGGATGCCCCAAAACATCTAGAGCGATTACCAACGGAGCCACCGACAACATAAGACGCTCTATGCAATTACACAACGACAGACACGGACACAGGATGCACAGAAGGTGGCCACACGGCGATCGCGGTACGGCAGCCTGCCAGACTTGCACTATCTGCCTTCTACAAGTATATCTTGACCTGACAAGTTACAGGGAGGCCAGACGAACAAGAAACTCGCAACGAACGCCCCTAACACACAAACGACCTGCCTCGTGTTAAATCATCGCTGTCAAGTCTGCTGAATGAAAGGGCAACAGGATATGCGTGGGCACCTCAACAGTGTTCGTGCGGTGCGCTACACGGAGCACATGAAAATGTTGGTAAATTGACTCGGAGTGACGCAGCGTGGAGGCATGGAGAGCAGCCGCGACCGCCACAGCAAGCAAACCGGCCAAGTATACACGGAAAAACGACGATAACGCCAATCACGTCGACTGGCTACTATGGCGGCAGCGTGGCAGATGCGCCACATGCGATTGCAGATCCAACTACTTATGTCGTACACGAAAGCCATACATCCAGCGACAACATGGTACTCCGCAGGGGGACGGAGAAGCATCATCAATCCCTTCTTTGCCGATTCTCACTCGCCAACACGCCGCTAGACTATTGCTGGTCCGGCCGCAATACTCAATAAACCATGCAAAGATAACTTCCCAACAAACCATCAAGCATCAATTCCAGACCCTCCCCTCATTCCTATCACACCGCCGCGACAGACATGGAAACCATTGGAACTCCAGCCGAATGAACCACATGCATGGTTAAAACCCGACAATACTTATAGTAGACTATAATACGTAGTATGCATACATATTTCTTCGTGGACTAGCCCCCAAGTACAAATCGTGATTCCTAAGCCCAATCGCCAAACGCTTAAAACAGGACAACGCGCAAGCACCATACCATACTCCAGAAAAGGGGGCACACAACTCCCACCATACCGCTACCAGCGTGGTTAACTAAATTACCACCCCTTGATTTCGCCGTGCAAAATACTTGCTGCGATTTCGGCCCCTCGCATTAACTTTCGTGATCGTGAGATGTGTGCGTTCGTTCAACCGATGTAATGGGACTTGATTAGCAAAAAAAAAAAAACGGCAAGATGACTTAATAGTACGGTATCATACATGTGTAATCCCCCACGCCTGCATGACAGTCCTCCCCTGCCGGCCAGGGTGGGGGATGGACTTCAACACCAACACCACCCTAGTAAAAGTAGTTGTTTCGCAAGCTGTGCCTCCAACCCTCCCGATTCCTGTTGCAGCAGCCCTTGTATCCTGGGTTTTTTTTTTTCCGGTCATGGAGGGCTACATTTACTCCACCCCAACCTCAACCACAAACAACCCCGCCCTACAGCAGTAACAACGCTCGACACCCACCGCAGTCTTGATTCTCCCTCACGGGGGTAACTAGCGCAGCTGCCATAGCCACAATAGCGTTGCTACCGCTATGGCTGGCTTCTGCATGCACCAAACAAACGAACAACACCAAAAAACAACCAACCAACGAAAAGAGCCGTACGGCCTTCACCAAACAATGCCACATATGATACCAACGCATGCTCGTGTTTCTCGACCATGAAAAAACACCTGTAACACAAACAAGATGAAGAAAATATCACTATCGTGGGCGTCTGCTTCACTCTCCGCAAGCCTGCCCCAACTCCCGAAACCTCGCTTCCATGCACTCTTCTCTCGAAAATACAACTGTTCCGCGGACACCGTACCGTGTGCGCCGCTAGCATCGCTGTCCGGAAGCGATCGCCACAGACGCGCTCACCCTAGCCACCGCAAAATCTCAGACCCCCGGCCCGCCCGTCCATCACTTCAGTTATATGTACTTGATGGAAAAGCGGCTGGGACGCCGCCCTACGCCTGCCGCAGACGCTCAAACGAGGCCGGGAGACTCGCACCCCCGACCATATCCCCCGACGCAGACGGGGAGTCGGACCCTTCCTCCTCCACCCTGGACAACGCCCCAACCCCACGCCCGACTTCGACAGCTCCCGCTCCTGCGCCGCGAGCCGATCCGACCGCCATGGAAGGCCGCGGGACCCCGGGACCGAAGAGAGCGGGCGCTGAATCGCCGCCCCCAAAGACACCGGACGGATTCGACGCATTGAACGCGGACAGGTTGGATCGCGCAGCTCCGCCTCCTCCGCGTGCGGCGGCATCGGGAGTTCCGCCTAGGGAGGGTTTCGACGACAGGTTGCCAGAGGGAAATTTCCCCTTGGCACCGTTCGCCGCGAAATACGAGTCTTGAATAAACACAACAATAAGCAGGGGGAGAGCGGCAGAGGGTTGAGAGGCGAGGTGTTTCATGCTCCTGAGTGAAAGCGTCTGTGGGGAATGCCGGCGACTCTCGCAACATCTATCGCTTCATTAACAAGTAGCCACGGACCAAGGGGAAACAAGGCCGACAATGATAGGAACAACAACCCTCGTGAAACCAACACGCTTCCATCAGGACAACAACAGGGCACTGCTGTGTCAGATGCTGTAAAAAATAGAAGAGGCATCAGACCACTGCCGATATGATGGAGGAACACAAGAAACGAACTGACTCACTGTCCCAGGTGATTGTCCGGCTGAGGCGACCGCTCCTGTGGCTCTGTTTCTGGATAAGCGCCGACACCTCCTCCAACAGCCCAGAGTTACGCGTCCTCTCCTTGCTGAGCTCGGACTTCTTGTCGTTCAGCTGCCTTTCCATCTCGCTCTGCAAGCAAGGGTATCGTAGGAGCTCGGCAGCAGACGGCCGGCGTGCTGGATCGGGCTGCGGAGGCACGCGTGGGGAACGGTGGTAATTTGGGAGTACAGTACTTCATCGTCGATGCATACCCCAGGAGCCGCCGCTATTATTAGAGCCCGCCAGTCGCCCGTCCGTATGGCCGATTGGTCCAGTGAAACAAAGTCCTACAAGAAGACAAAGGCTACGAGTTGACTTGCGAGACTATGTTCCCTGTTGTGCAGTACTAGAGGAGGTGGCAAGGGCAAGTTTGCAAGGAAGCAGGTCAATGACCTGTTCCAATTGAATTGGACGGATTGCGAGCTTTGATCGATACTACTGATGAACTGTAACTACTACTGTATCTTGGTACATATTAGGCGCAACGCGAACTTGGCCGCCTGCTTCCGTGTGTTCCTGTAGTAGCACGGCTGGGTGAGTGTGGGCCGGCATCGATGACGAGGAGGTAGATGCAGAACGGGTAACGAGTGAGGCGCGCTTACTATCAATCTACTACTGCTCATAGAAATTTCGACGATTCATGGGAACTTTTCGAACTTCTTCCCCCTCCGGGCCCCTGCGGGGGG